GAGCCCATCTTCTGAGGAGTGTTAATCACCGCAGCTGTGTGAGACACGCTACACACACCCCGGCATGACTGCAGAGGGTGATGAAATATCTCCCAGGATCTTCAAGGAGAGGCCGGCTCCATGTGGGCTTGCATCAGCAAACACTGCAGAAACAGCGCCCAAGGACACGAGCAGCAGAAGCCAACACTGCGCTGACAGACAGCAGAAACACAAAACACCGCTCTGGACCCTCATCAACAGCTGCACACCCAGCTCTACTCTGCTAAAGGTGAATATAAATCTATATTTGTAAATAGAAGGCATCAAGAGATATTATAAACATTAACATCATGATTTTCTGTAAACACAGCTAACAGGAAACGTTCTGGCAAGGTTCTCTCAAAGTTACAAACAAATGTTCTGGTCTTTCATAATTTTATCAAACATTAGCAGAATAACATTCAAGGGTCAAAGACAAAAAAGGGTTTTCAAGTATCAAAACAGTAAGTGTAATACAGCTTTGATTTGTTGTTGTTTTTCAATACGTTAGAAAGTGTCCTGTTTACTTTTTTGCACAAAAAATAAATATCATACATTTTTGCCATGATTTACAGAAAACAGCCTCTAAAATGTCATTCGGTGTAACAAGCTTGTCAGGCATATTTACCACAAGAATCAGTTTATGATATATATTAAAAGACTAATTAGTTTTACCCCAAATGCTATTTACAGTACTTGCAATTTTACATTTTTAAACTTTGCCACTATTCAATTTTGGCTATTTGTCAGCAATAATTTTTTACTCATTTAAAATGCAATATATTTTAGTATGCTCACTTATTCTTTTATATATTTTAAAACGTACAGGTCAGAATAAGTATGTTGTTTCAATTTTTACATAAATATAAGTGCTACACTGAATGACATTGGAACATTATTTCACCCACATTTTGACATTTTATTCTCCCCAAACTTATTTGAAACCTTAAAACTGGACGCTTTACTTGCATTTAATGTTCTATGTATATCAAATCACTTTTGTAAAATTTCTTTTCATGTGGACATTTAAATGTCTTTGACCCTCATACAGCAGAATGTTTTATTTCTGAAATGTTTTAGTTTAATCTGGAACCAATGTTTTAGTTTTCACTTTCTTATAATGTTTGCCAAATGATAAATTATTAAATGGAAAAAAAGTTAAAATGTATAACATTGTAATGTATAATGTATAACAAATGTATGTTAAATTTTGACTTGACTTTAACTATTAAAAACTTCACAATCAGAGGAAGAGTTAAACTAAAAATCCCAAACGTGTATGACTTTACTAAAGGAGACGTTTAGCAGAAAGTTCACGCTGCTCTTTCCAGATACTAACCAGCAGATGAACTCCAAAAATTATCATAAAAGCACCATAAATCAATCTAAATAAACGAAACTATAAATGAATAACAAACTATACTCAGTTCAGTTCTGAATGGTCGCAGACACACGAATAACTCCTGAATCATTCTTACATCAGCTGTCTGAATCTCCTGGAATGTGTAATAGAGGGAGATATTCATGAGGTGCTTCAACACTTTCGTCAGCTGTGTTGGATTGATGCTGGTGTAAATAAAACACACACAGACATATAAAGCAGGCGGTCGTGTGGAATTATGGGTAGGGGTGCTTTGGACACAACAGCGCACCCTGAATGCTAAAATGACTGATCGAACTGTTATTAATGAAGAGCTCTTAAACAGCACCAGCCATCATCCATCAGTTCTCATGTGATTTTTGACATCAGACCTGATATGAATGAGAAATGTGACGTTCTACTAAAGAAATAAAGTCATACGGGTTTGTTATTGATTGATTCCTCCAGGAGACGCAGCACGGGGCCAGTGTTTAGGGGACAGACACTCTGATCCTGCTCCGAAGGTTTCAGCGAACCTACCAGCCGGAAATCTCAGAGAATTATCATTTTCATTTCTCTCAAGCTGTTTTCTTGTTTTTGCTGCTGAACGTTCACCCGGAGCCGAGCGCGAGTTGTCAGACTCCAGTGCGTTTAGAGTTCCACGGGACGCCGCTGTGTTAATTATGCAAATTCAAATAGCTGTGCACACGAAAGATGCAAGAGAACTGCAATCTGATTATGCATGCAATGACTAGGGAGAGGCGGTTTGCGAGCACACTCTGAAAAACAACGTTT